TTATTGTGTGAATATGGAAGGTTGTGGCCTCAGCTGCTCCAACTTGTTGGACAACATGGAGGCGTGTGAGCTGTCAAAGGCAGCGAAGTCATTGAAACAGAAAAAAATCCACTACTACTTTGTTCCAAAGTAGGGCATGCAAGTAAGCCACCATATTAATAAAGTACTTTTCTTATTGAATGTACCTTTGTGTCATCGAATCCTATACCGGGCCTATATCGAATTATGCCATATACAGTGAAATCCCGTTATAACGAACCTCAGATTAACGATTTTTTCAGATTAACGAATATTTCCGAAATCCCCTTCCAAATGTCCATTGGTTCAATGTAAAAATATTTCACTACTACGAATTTCAGAATAACGAATGTTTCAGAATAACGTGTCAAATTTTATCACCCTGGTACCTTAAGAGCACTTCAAAATAACGAATTTCTAGCGTAAAAATTACGTGCGGCGGTCTAAATGCCCAGCGCCATATGTGGCACTATCATCATCATCAGAGCTCCTGCTCATTTCTCCATGCGTTGCCTTATGCTAAATGCGCACTAGCCTGGCTAGCCCTATCGCCATCGCCAGTACCTTGTTTTCGATGTTTTTTTTTTTTTTTTGCATGCTCGTTGAGCCAGGTTGAGCCTAACCTCGCCGCCTTTGTTCAGTTACGTCGACCGGCAACGTCGCACAATTGTCGTACGGCTTTCTCGTTTTAAAGGTTAGAGTGATTCGTTTCTGCGTTCGCGATGAGCTCCGGAAGCAGCGCGAAAAAGAAACGGAGGCAGTTTTCTTTAAAAGAAAAAGTGGATATTCTTTCTCAAGTGGACGCCGGTAAAAAACAAATCCACATTGCGAACGAGATGGGGGTTGCACCATCAACTGTCGCAACCATCCTGAAGGACCGACAAAAGATCCTCGAGCTGCACCGAGGGTCCCAACTCGCACCGTCAAGAAAACGGCTCCGACTTGGGAATTTCCAAGAAGTGGATGCTGCAGTACTGACTTGGTTCAAGGACGCGCGTTCTCAAAATGTGCCGGTGTCGGGACCCATGCTGCAGGAATAAGCCCGGCAATTCGCTGATGCTTTGGACATCACAGGCTTCGAAGCAGGCGCGGGGTGGCTTCATCGTTTCCGTGAAAGGAATGGAATCACCTGGCAAGTGGTGTCTGGTGAAGAGAAGGCGGCAGACGCAGCAAGCGCTGCTGCATGGAGGGACGAGAAGTTCCGCGAAATCGTCGCTTCATACTCCGAAGATGATATATTCAATGCGGACGAAATGGCGTTCTTCTATCAAATGCTTCCTGATAAAACCATGCATTTTAAAGGGAACAGCTGCAAATGCGGCAAGCAGTCCAAAGTCCGGATTACGGTATTGTTATGCTGCAATTTCACAGGCACCAAGAAGCTGAAGCCCTTGGTGATCGGCAAATACAAGAAGCCTCGCTGCATGAGGAACGTTGTTTCGTTGCTGTGCGATTATCGGGCTAATTCACGCGCGTGGATGACACGAGAGTTATTCTCTGAGTGGCTACTGAAGGTGGACGATGAGATGAGGAGTGCAGGTAGGAAAATCCTGATTATCGCCGACAACTGCTCGGCGCATCTTGTTAATGTCAGGCTGACAAATGTACAGCTGGAATTCTTGCCTCCGAACTGTACGTCCTTGCTCCAGCCACTGGACCAAGGCATCATAAAAAGTGTCAAGGCCCATTACCGGACACGCCTGGTTCAGCGATTGCTGATAAATCTTCGGATGAAGCTGCCTACCTCCATCAATGTGCGACAGGCCACAGAAATGGTTACCGGGGCCTGGTGGAGCGTTACATCAACCACCATCCAGAACAGCTGGAGGAAGGCAGGCTTGGTAGTAATGCCATCTGAATCTGAACAAGGCAGCGAAGAAAGCGACGCGAGTGGCATGTGGCAAGAAGTCGTCGAAAGACTCGCGATGGATGCCTCGGTGACGTTCGAGGACTATGTGCAGTGCGACGACGAAGCATGCACGTCAGCCAAACTGACGACCAATGACATCGTCAGTGCTGTTCGTGGTGATAACAGCGACGAGGACGCCAATGGCGAAGACGACACTGAGACCGCGCCCGTTAGCCAACCAGAAGAATCGCTTTCCAACGCCGACATCATGGAATGCGTGCGAAAGATGCGCACTTACCTTGGCAGGTGCAGCAATGCCACCGAAGCAGAGCATAAGAATGTGGCAACTTCGAAGCGTTCGTCCTGCGGCAGTTGAGCGGCACCCGCCAGGCCAAGATCACCGACTTTTTCAAATAAACGTGCGCTCATTCCGGAATACTTCGCGTTTTGTTTCTTTTCACGCTCGTCATAAAATCAAGCGTTTGCGGATGTGTACGCAGCAAAGGTAGGCGACTCCTTTTGTTGCATTTACGATTTTTAATGCGAATTTTCGATGTTTTCATTATAACGATATTTCAAAATAACGAACTATTTTCCGCGGTCCCTTCAAATTCGTTGTATCGAGATTTCACTGTATAGAACTAATAAACGCTTTTTGGCAAGTTCGATATACAGTCGAAACCCTCAATAATGAAATCACCGAGGAAACCGCGAAATTTCGTTTTCGCGAGAATTTCGTTACCGCGAGTATGAGACATAAAAACTATGATATGGTCAGCAGAACAAAAATTTATTGCCAGAAGTCGGTCAACTTACTTTGCCGACCCTTGCCATGCAACAACTTCCAAGCTCTCCCTTCGAACTGGAAAAAGTGGTCCATTGCTACGTCGTCGTCATGTGCGCCGAAGAAGGAGAGAAGGGTGTCCAGCGCATCCAAAACAACCCGCGGGTAGTTTGCGGGTTGTTTTGGATGCGCTGGACACCCTTCGACGCACTAACGCATCCCAAACAACCCGCGGGTTGTTTTGGATGCGCTAGTGCGTCGTTCCTGCCCGCAGTCTCGCTGTCGGTGGAGTGAGGGCTAAAGACGACTCCGATGACGCGCCGCACTCGTAGTAACCTGATCGCACATCCACCTACTGCTCCTAACTAAAGCGTAATTATATATTAAGTGATCGTCGAGCCGTGAACACGTCACGAAGTAGCAATTTTCGAGAGCCATGTCCTCGCGACGCACAAGGAGCAGACGACGATCTCCCGGAGCGAGCATCGGGCCAATGGGGAGGCGAGCTGAGGAAACATGGCGGCCACAGCCAATCAAAAGCCTCGAAACGACCTTCGAGCATTTGCTTTTTGTGCACTTGTTTTTAAAGGGAGGAGCCAGCTGAGGCGGGAAAGTTAAACACGGAGAAATGCTCTTTCCGATGAGCCCAAGAATCGCTGTTTTCTCGCGAATTCTAGAAAAAGTTTCGCTATCTAGGTGGGTGAAATGAATTTTCCGAAGCACTTCTGCGCGGTTTTCAGAGTGGATACTTTGGAATCAGATAGAAAAAGGGTTCCAGAAACTGAAAACTTGATTTAAAAAAAATGGATTTTTTTGCCTATTTTCGCGATCCCAAAGCCGCGTCCTCCCTGATGTAAACAAAAATGGCGGCACCCACACTAGTGCGGCAAAAGCAGAAGTTTAAAAATTTAGTGTGTGCATAACACGCATACGAGCATATTTTCGACAGTTAATCTTTAGCGGGAGGGTAAAATAAGGCCCGCACCGTGGTAGAAAATTCGTTAATGCGGGATCGCTGTCCAAAAACACTTCGTTGCCGCGAGACGCATAATACATGGCCTTCTATGAACGTTCGCCGGGAATTCATAAATATTTCGTTGCCGCGGGGATTTCGTACTCACGGGGTTTCGTTATTGCGGGTTTGGACTGTACCCGGGTTCGACAGTAGTATATATTAGCCTAAGCCGAGCTCCTGGATTGTGTTTACACCAGCTTATTTGAAAGGTTCACTCCAGCCTGGTGCTTCTGGAGCTTCGAAAGCTGCAAACGAGTTCCAAAGCTGCAAATGAATGATGCACCAATTTCTACAGCATAACAGCTTTAAAACAAATTTGTCTTGGACAACCAAAATTAAACAGTAGAAGAGTCAAACCTTTAGCGCGCACTCATGAGTGGTGCAAGTGCCGCATCAGCATCAAGCAAGCACACTAATTCAGCTGTAATTCACTGAAACTTTACATAGCATGCTGCCTACTTTGGCACAGGCTGGCTCAAAAGTGGATGTGCGGGGTTCAACGCCCCAAGGCCCCTATATTATTATGAGAGACGCCATAGTGGAGGGCTGCGGAAATTTCGACCACCTGGGGTTCTTCGACTTGCACCCAAGTCTGAGCACACGAGTTGACAGCATTTTCGATGGAGGCGAAAATGCAGCCGCTACCGGGATTCTATCCCGCGACATGCAGATCTGCAGCCAAATACCTTAGCCACTAGACCACCGTGGTGGGGCGATGGCTCAGAAGTGCTTATCTCCAACACATTAGAAACGTTATTGCCTTTACGTTCAGTGTGCAGCTATTCATTAGCATTTTGGGTTATGCAAATCAGCGTGCCAAATAGAGTGAGTTCCACCAGAGGGAGCCACAATAAAAACTATAGCAACAAATTTCGTAATGGTATACAAAAAAAGGCTAGTGTTTCGTTCTCTGGCCTCTGTCCTATCTAAACAAAACTCTGGCATGCAGAAATGCAGCTGCTGCAGCGAGCACAGGAATTTTTGTGCTCTATAACACTTGAACACAAACTGAGCAATGAGAACACAAAAGTATGAGCCAATTGCTTATTGCTATCAAGTTAGGGCTCACGTGTACAGCTGCTCAATGTAAAGTATGCATTTTTTGCAGGAGCATTTTCTTCCTTGACATCCATGGGCCTCTCACGCAACAAAAAAAAAAAATCTGGCACGTTTCCTCCCATTTCGAGCTGCGAACGTCGGCCACCCTCGCAAGTTTTCACTCGCACAGAGGACATACAAAGTGCAAGGTGATTTTGAATTCTGTGCAATCTGAAGGCAACAATGAAAATGTGCCTGAAGTGTCCCAGCAATTGCTAGTAAAACTGTTGGCTCACCTAACAAAGACGATGCCCTTGAAGCCCCTGAAGAACCTTGCTGTGGCAAAAAAGTGATGATAAATGGCCTTGCAGAAGCCACACCAAGACGCATAGAACAGGACAACTGCATCCTGGAGGAGGATTGACAGAGCAAGAATGTTTTATCTAACTCTCAGGCTAATGCAAAAATGAAAAGGAGAAAGTTGTTCTAACACACAGCCTTTGATGCAAACCACATGCAGGAAAAAGGAGGAAAAAGTAGAGTCTAACCTCATTACTACACCATAGTAGCAAAAAGACAGTACCTAAATCAGTTTTTTGTATTGCACATTCGTTGTAACAGTGGAGTTACCTTAATTCGGCTCTATCATATTTGCACTCTGGCTCGCACAAAAATCCTAGATATGAAAAGGCATTATACATAGTATTCTGGATAAATAGCCATTCCAAATTTCAAATAAAACTCAAAAACTCAATGGAGCAACCCTTCATCATAACATGAACTTCAGAGTTTTCTCATTTTGTGGTGCACCCAGCCTAATACACTTTTTTTTTTTTGCACCAGATGCTAAATTTCTGCAAGTATCTGTAGCAATTTAAAAGAAATGTGCTTGAGAATAGTCCTTCTATCATGTATACAGTAGACTCAATAAACGGAACCTAAAGGGACTAGAAAAATATGTTCCATCTAAGCAGTCTTGTATACTGAGAGGTGAACATGGGTGAAAAATGCAAGCCCGAAACCAAACATTGCAAAACCAATAGTTCCGTTTAATCAGTAGTTTCGTTTAACAGATTTTTGTTCACTGAGTGTTTACTGTATTTTGTTCATTTGCTTTTCATGCTACATTTAGATCTAGAATTGCACAACCCAGTGGAACTTCGATTATACGTCTTCTGGTTTGGCGACAACCTGCATTTTACGATGAATTGGCTTGGTCCCAGCAATATTCCAATAGAAACAATGTATTAAAAACCTAGGTTAAACGACGCAATTTTATGCCGACTCCACATCTTAGGATGACTTTCAGATTCCGTCGGAAAGAAAAAAAAAAACACCTTTACTCGAATCACATGTCGACCGAATATTCTCGAGTGCAAAATATGAACATGCATACACCAAACAGGACTACAGAAAAAGTAGAGCCATCTTCAACGAATGGAAAGTTTTTTTTTTTTTTTTTTTTTTTTCGGAATTTCATGCACTTCTACATACGCCCCAATCATGTGCATACGTATCCAGGGTCGTTACCTAGTCAAGCTCTATCCACATAGAGTAGGTTCAGCTGACCAAAAAGCTGATAGTTTCACATTTTCGGTCCATGGAACGATTTCCTGGTTGACATATGGCTGATCCCCTGCCTCTGTCACACTCGCAGTCACTGGTTTGCACACGCATAAGGGCACGATGCAGCTGCTTTCGTCGTGGAAAATTACTTTAACTTGACATCAACGTTCGTAACAGTGGGACACCACTAGTTGCACTTCACGAGGCAACAAATTGCAACGCGCACAGCTTAGTCGCGCACGAACGCATCGCACATAAACTCGTTGTCCATCGCCATTACGCGATCTGACTGCGTCTGACTCTTCTGATGGGAGGCTCACGGAAACACAGTTTCGTTTTCACGACGATAACTTTCGGGCTCTATTTATCGGTAGAAAGATGCGCGTTGGATTTGTTTTTAAGGCTGAGAATAAAGATTCGCTCGTACCTCTTTCAACTAATAATTAATGCTGTTAGCTACCACTGGCAAGAATAATTCAATCTACCCTCATTGCAGAGGCAGAAGGTCATGCCGTGGGCTTATTCAGCCAGTCTGTACCCGTTTTTCGGGCAAGGCTGTGTGTCGCGGTCTATAATCTTATTTTTTTGATTAAACAACGCCCGGGGTTATAGGATGGTTTTGCGTGGTCCCCTAAAAGTTGTATATTCGAGGTTCCACTGTAGGTATTCCTTCACAATTCATACTCCAGTGACGTTTTCGGTTGAATTATAGAAAAAGTAATGTTACTGAAATGAAACCTATACAAAAAAAATGCATCTTTAGTTCGCTATATCAGCGTTCATTACAACAAGGTTCAACTGTATGACTTGTTCAGCACCTTGAAATTGCATCATCTTTACCAAATTGTGCCTGGCAAGCGTGCTACATCCAATAACTGAAAGCTTTCCAAGTGCAAAATTGAGTCTTTTTACTTGAAGCAAGTGCCATTTGTACAAGAAATTTTGCAGCCCGATGCACTGGGCAAACAAAAGGCAGCGATGTTCTCACCTGTGTAGTGTCGAACATGAGCTTGTGGAAGCCCCTGCTGCTAAGCTCGGCGATGAGGCCTTCACTGCTGGCATGTGCAAACGAATCCGGTCCGACTGAGTTTAAGTGGCGATCCAGGACCCCATCAGTAAAGTCAACGACGAGTTTCTTCAATGTTGGCGCAGTCACATGTCCACGAATAACGTACTGGGCCTCGTTCTGTGTTTACGTAACGAACAAAACAAAAAAGCATTCTCAGGTTGCAGAGCTGGTGTTGCAACTGGTATTTTCCATTGCAGTTTTCCCGTCACTGTGCTTAAATATTATTTCATACTTTCTGGCGCTAACTATGCTCATATAATTACACGCCTCATTTTTTCATGTATCATAATCCACTCATCATCTGCCTTTCAAGACCATATTATTCATCATCTTTAACACTAAAAACTACGTTCACTGCATATTAACGTAAATACAACCCCACCCCTTATGTATTGCCCCTACAAGAAAGTGGGGCCATTGAGGTAATAAACTGATCTACCCTGCCCAATACTTCCGCGACTGAGAATATGCAAGATATTTAAATAAATCATTCATACTGATTGATTGATATCTGGGATTTAACGTCCCAAAATCTTTCATACTGAGGTGACACAGCAAGTTTCCTGACAACAAAAAGGAATTCCCACAACTTTTGCATTAAAAGCACTCATATTGCAGAAAAGAAAAAGAAAGCCATCAACAAATGTCCAGATAACTGTTACTAGATGACGTATACAGCAACAAAAACAGTCTCATTGTTAAACAGTGCAGTACAGTGAAACTCCGCTCCAATGAACGCCACTTCAACGAAATTTTCGCTACAACGAAAAATTCACCGATACCGATTCCCTGTCAGCAGTCCGTAGAAGTAAATGCATAAATATTGTCGCCACAACGAACACTTTTTCTTCAATCGTCTCGCTTCAACGAAATTTCACGATGCAATTCCAGGCTCAGATACTTATTTCTATGCAGTAAACCCAATCTTTAACATTTAGATGCATTTTCAGAGCCTAAAAATGTCTCAACGAAGTCTAAAACATGCATTGGCACCACAAGAAACTGCCGCTATACCGCCGCTGTTCAGACAGCATGGGAGCACCCATTGCTCAATAGCAATGGCAATGAGACTGCCCCAACTCCCCTGCTTTCTCCACTGGCTTGCTTTTAAGCCGCAGACGATCCGAAGCTGAAGCTCAGTCGCTCAGTTTATGTTTCCTTCACGCTCGGTTTCCTTCACGCAACTGCTGGGTGCATTTAGAAGTGTGGCAGCTTGGGCTAGTTGGTATGACATGACTATAATTATGGAGCGAAAACAAAACGACGTGTCCTTCTTGTCTCTGTGTCGTCGTTCTGTTCTCGCGCTATAACTATCGTCATGCTGGGTGCAACCGCGGAAGGATGCCTGTTCCGATTCCGATGCTTATCATTATGTTCGCGCTTGGGCAGTGTGGTAACTAATCAGAGCGGCTTTTCGTCCACATTATCAACAAAATCAGCTAGCTGTGAGTGATGGATGATAAGAATGGCATAGAATAATCCAAAAGCCGCCGCTCCACGGTCCCCTACCTCCATCTCGGTGTTGTTGGACGCTTTTGACGGCAGACAGCTGCTGGTGTTAGCGTGTTAATGCAACTGTTTGGTTCGTTCACGAAGGCGGTTTTAGGCGTTGTTTCAGCGTGCTTTTCACCATGGCCGCACTATGCATGGGTGAGAATCACATTGTGATGCTGCTAAGAAAGAATTGAAAGCAGTGAACATTTTTTTTAATTTAGAGAATAGACGTTCCTTTGTTTTGCTAGCTCAGATCAGCTATATATCTTCGATTTCACTACAACAAAATTTTTGCTTCAACAAAATTTTTTCCGTGCCCCGCCAGTTTTGTTATAGCGGGGTACACCTGTAACAGAATGGGGACTGTTGCAATAGTTTACTCACAATCCGTGTTGCTTTAATCTTTCTTGAATTTTTGCACCGTTTGCATATATCAACAAACTCGGCACTATAGCAAGGGCAAATATGCTTTACTTTACATAAACTGCTGCTTCACCAGCTCAGAAACAGCGTATGTGGTTAGACCAAAAGTGTGAGATTAAGCTCACTCTGCTGGAGCAGCAATATTTCAGCGTTTATAATCGCAATATTTAGTAGGAGGGCATACATCAGTCAATAATCTCTCACAGATATGAAATAACGGGGGACAGTACAACAGCCTTCTAAAAACAAACAAAAATATGCTTGTGCTCGGCTTTCTTGGATCGCGTCTTGTCGGTGTTACCAGCACGTCGTCTGCACTCTCGAACCCGATCGGTGTTCTTGACTCACACCTTATTAGTGTCGCTGATCTTGCACTGCCAACGCTTGCGTTCCCTGGCTTGGGCCTCGTCGTTGTTCACATTGCGATTTGCGAACGCGATCGGCTTCGCTAACCATTGCAACGCCGGTGACCGCCGGGAAAGGTACACGCACACTAGCGGGAAGCATACCGCGTCGGCGCACGGCCTTTGCGGTGCGATTCGAAACAAGCAGTGGCGCACTGTCCACATTGTCAGTGCCACGAAATTCTCGAGGCGTGCGTAGGTTGCGCACCCGCTGGCTCACGGCTTCTTCTCGCCGACAGAGAGGTGGCGCGGGTGAGATGATGCCCAGGTAAGGAGTGGGCTCAAGCATTGCGAGTGGTGGAGAGGGCGAAGCGAGAGAGCTGAAACGCGGCGAGCCCGCGGCAGGCAAGGGGGAGAGACATCACGGTGCACTGCTAGGAGAGCATGAGCTACTTGGCACCGCTCCAACAACTGTGGCGAGGGGAACGGTGTGGACGGTCGTACGCGGTTACACAGGCTAGTGAAGGAGCGGCCTGATATCTAAAGAATAAGTTGTCACACAAGAAAAATGCAACAAGGTTCTTATATTGAGTCATATCAAAATGTTGATGACAGAAGTTTGTTGTAGGCCTTCTGAAGCTCGCAAAGGATGAATGTACCTTTGCAGAGTAAATGACGGCAGTGGGGAAGCCATCAGAGAGGAGGCCCGGTGGTGCAAACTCGGAGTGCCTGCCATCCAGAGCCACAAAATTGACCGTGCTGTTAGTCCGGCAGCTGAGGCCCGAGAAGCGGCCTTTCAAGTCGCATGAACGGTAGTCCTGGGACAACTGATGCATCTGCATATCAATATGAGAGAATTCTAACTTTGCTGGGATTACACCTCATTATAACACAGCTGTATATTGCAAGAGAATAAGTTCATTAAGTCCAAAAAGTCTTTGTATAGGTTATTCCTAACACTGTATCTATTGCAAAACTATTAGATACAAAGCACCTTATGCCGTGGGCTCTGTCCTGCGGCATCTACTATGTATAATAATTTTTATGTCTATAAGCCCTGCGTTATACTTCTCATTGCCATTAACTCTAATCAGATAATCTAAAGCTCCCACCTCATACCTGAACACACCTATAGACATCCCAAGAGATCAGCATTGAGTACATAACGTTATGCAGAACAGGCTGTGTAACAACTGTCATTATGACTTCCACCCATATGCACTGACTGCTGACTAAAATTTACTATTTATGCATGTGCCAGACACACACCTGAAAATATTCCTGGCTGCCGTGGTCGGTGTAGAGGACAAGCGTTGACTGATTCTCAATCAACTTCGAAAGCCTCCTGCTTTTCAGGCCAGAGGGAGCCACCCAGTGAAGTGTTCGAGCCTGCACACCAAATTCACAATCTGACGCGAGCAGACCAGAGGTTGTAACAACGGTTATTCTGAATGGAATACCTTATGGTCAAGCCTGTAAGTAAGAAACTATCCAATACCTCCCGAGCCTTGTTGTAGGTCCAATCAAGTGCTGTTTTGTAATCAGTGCCTTTCTCGCTGTAACCCTGGAAAAAAAGAAGGCACCAGCATCAACTTTCGTATTTCAGAGGAACACAAAAAAAAAACATACAAAAGTTCATCTTTACGGCTAACCACAACATCACCACCAAAATGCTCTTAGCAATAAATTAGAAGCTTGAACAAGTGAGTAGGATTTAGTATTTGCAAATTTGTGCACTTCATAAAGTGTGAACGACAAATGCAAACATTGTCCAAGTTCGTGAAGAGTACTCTAACCCAAGAAAAATATTTTTCAAGTTTACAGGTGGTCGAACAAAAGTTCCTAATCTGCTCAGCTTATTGGTGCAGGCAATGGGGGGGTTTGTTACTTTGTAATAAAGCGCAGATACCTGCTAACATACTGACTATCATTTTAAGTGCCTAAACAATAGCAGACAATATACTGAAATTTGAACGACTCTTTCGCACAGTCCATAGCTGACCACTAGACAGCATGACATGCTGGTTTCTGCGACTTTCAAGTGAGATTGAAGATAAGAATCTCATACATACCTAAAACATGTAAAGAACTATGTTAAATTCTGTCATTATATTCACAGTTGTGGCATATCCACTAGGCTCTAATCGCATGTGTTGATCAGTAGTCAGTTGCTTTCACTTATGGTTATGATGGATACAGTGTTATGCTCATATAATAAAAACCATGCTGGTTGATCAGGACAATATGCTATGGTATCATTCATTATTGACTGGGCATTTACGAAATGATAAAACCTCACAATTCAATTCACTTACAATAACCACGAACTATGCTAGGTTACAATTAGGGCTCCATGTTATCGGTGCTAATTTTTCTTGAAATTTGGAGTGGTTACAATTATTATTTTTGACCAGGATGGTAAATCCTCAGTATGCCAAAATTTCGTGTTTAATTTTGATTATTATGTCATTGCATTGTTTTCTTATTATATTTATTTACAATGAAAATGGGTTGCATTGTTGCTCATATTCTTTTTTTTTTAACCGTTCATTTTTTTCCCCTTGCTTTCTGTTCATTTACCCTCTTAATAAGGCTGTTGATGAGCACTGCTGTAAACTTGCCAAAGTGCAATTTTGTCAGGGCAAGATATAGTCAAGCTGCTTCCTAGCTTTTTCTCAGAGTCTGGCTCATTATCTCGATAAAAATAAAGGACATATTATTATTAAAATTTTCTATACTCCCAAATCTTAGATGACATCAGTGGCAAACCCAGAGGGGGGGGGGCGTAGAGGGAATCGCCCCCTCCTCATCTTTTCACTGCTTGACGTCCACGTGCTATACCCATTAGGACAAATGAGTGACCACTGCGAGCACAGATTCACAGTATTTATGACGTTACTGGGTTTTTGTGCTAGTAAAAACAGAGAAGTAATGACCACACTCCCCTTTCCGGTGTTAATTCAAGCAACCGCCCCTCCTTAAATGGGTGGTTGGATCCGTTCCTGGATGAAATTATATCTAAACATGAAAACATGCCGACACACTAGGTGTATATTAGAAGGTTTGAATGTGCAATCACATATACATACAAGCACAAATACTTGGATACAAAACACCTATGCATGGTGGTGTTACAACCTTAAAGCTTGTTGTAATAGACGCAAACATACTTTATGAGGTTGCTGCTGCTGATGGAGGTGTGCTCATTTCGATTGATGATACTCAACTATTAAATTGCCACCTTTTAAAAGTTGAAAATGCTGTTTCAAAATCACGAGCCTATCGAATAAATAAAAAAAAGCCAGAAATTTCATCGGTGAGTGTTTATCAGATTTATAAGAAATCCCAGAGCCCTGTTACAAAACAAAAAAAAAAGCCACCCCGCATCTTCCCACAAGGGGAACTCGAGTAAATGTGTCTCAGAGTGGTGGGGGTATCGCGTGACTGTGGCGTAATTGGGTATGGTTTGGGAATGCTTAAATGTAATTTCGTTTTTATTATTCTTATTTATTGAATGAAGGAGTAGCATTGCCTTCAGAGAGTGGAGGGACGCTGATATTGGCTTGTGCCCCATTACTGGTTGAAGGTACTGTTGCTTCCATCGCATCTACTCGAGTCAAGCAATGCGTGAAGTCAAGCGAAAGTCAAGTAAAGATGCTCTTGACTGAATTCCGAACGTGCAATCCAGTGCCTACATATATGGAGTGGCCAATGAATAGTTGTGCAGCGCGAGCAATCATCTTTTTTTTACTTGCTGACGCTGCCTGCATCAGCCTTGTGAGGCGAAAGAGGGGGAGGGGAGCGACAGTTGGCACGAGGCGCGAGCATGCGGCACGAGCATGCGCAGTGGAGGTGTGGACGGCGCCACCGACGCCGAATCTGCAACATGGTGCAACTAAGAAATGCTCCACGTTTAGAATGTCAGCTCTACCCACAGAACTGAGGCACAACATGCCTGTCTTTCACTTGTGAAAGTTGTGCCAGCTGGAGCCCACTCAAACAGTAAGTACTTTTTCTCAGCTAATGTAAATATGACACATATAAAGAGTTGAAAGTCTGTCTAGCATTACTGCCTAAACCTTACGCTTGACTGAGCAACAATGTTGGAGTCCAAAAGGGAATTTACCAGGACATTCAAGTTTCCAACCTAAAGCCAGCAACACAAATGTGTGTCTGTAGTAGAAAGCCAACTATTTCAAACACTCGAGGAATGCTTAACACCACAAAAAAAGAGTAATTGCTATTAGAAAGAACATTCATACAATTCTGTGAGAGAAGGGACGAGGATGGCTGGGGCGGAGGTAACATTTTTCCAAGGTTGTAACATAGTATATGTATCTTTCACGTCATGTATACAGCTCCGTAACGTACTCATAGTGATTTGATTGATATGTGGGGTTTAACGTACTAAAACCACCATATGATTATGAAAGACACCGTAGTGGAAGACTAAAAAATTTCGACCACCTAGGTTCTTTAACGTGCACTCAAATCTGAGCACATAGGCCTAAAGCATTTTTGCATTAATCGAAAATGCAGCTGCCGCAGCCGAGATTTGAGCCCACGACCTGTGGTTCAGCAGCCGAATATCTTAGCCACTAGACAATCACGGCGGGGCAATGTACTTGCACTCCTGCAAGGCAAAATTGATGGCAAAAGGATAACCACAATATGGTTAATGCGCTTGATTGCAAAAGCGATGTGGCAGAAACACCAATGGCCTGCGCTGTACCGTGTCCTTCTATCGCTCCTGTCCGGGTGTTTCGCGCTGTTAACCACGATGAATGCTCACCAACTAGCCCAGTTTTCCATCTTGACCAATGGCCTCCCGTGCGCGAATAAGAAGCGGCGTGCAATATACTCGTAACATTAACATGACTTCTCAAACTTCATGCCCCGCCATACGGCACTCCAACACTGCAGTTTCAATGACGTCGGTGCATGCTATCTATAAGAAGAACCAACTCCCCAGCGAGGACGATGAAGCGAGCAATGAAAAGTAAAATTTGAGGTGCAACCTTATGGTAAAAAGAGAGATGGATGATACGTGGGATTTAACATCCCAAAACCACCATATGAATATGAGAGACGCCATAGGGGAGGGCTCTAGAAATTTTGACTGCCTGGCGTTCTTTAACGTGACCCAAATCTGAGCACACAAGCCTACAGCACCTTCGCGTCTATCGAAAATGCAGCCGCTGCAGCCTAGATTGGATCTTGCAACCTGTGGATCAGCAGCCGAATACCTTAGTCACTAACTAGACCACCGCGGCAGGGCAAGGTACAAAAAGAGGGCAGAGTGGGTGAGAAAACAAATGGGCAAAGGAACCCATAGTCGAAATGAAAAATGGAGATGGGCAAGGCACTATCGTCGACAGGATAACCACTGGTCATTAAGAGAACAAGACTGGATTACAAAAGAAGGCAAACATGCAAGGGGGAGAATGAAAGTTAGATGGGAAGATGAAATTAGGAAGTTTGCAGGGTAACCTGACCGCAACAAGCATAGGACTGGTTTGATTCGCAGAACGGGAGAGGCCTTTGCATGGTAGTATACGCAGTCACGCTGATGATTATGAACTCACCAGCGACGCGTTCCACGTGAACAGCGTCACAGTGTGCTCAACGCCGATCTCTGCCGCGGCACGGCGGTCCACAGCCACGGCGAAGGCAACGTCCCGCCAGGGGTCGCGCGTGAGGGCCTGCAGCGCAAACCCGTAGAAGCTCTCGTATGCGCGACCCCTGGGGTCGCCCACGATTCCCAGGATGACAGCCGTGTGACGTCGCAGCAGGGCGGCGAGGTCTACGGCTCCCGTGACACGCACCAGCGGCGTAGAGACATGCATCAGGAAGCCCTCTAGGGTCCGCGCAGTGGGCGTCACATTCATAGGGAAGACGACGTCGCCCACTTCCCTGACGTGAGCTACGACGACCGGGTAGAGCGACGGCGAGTGGCGCTTTCGGCAGTGCCCGTTGGGCCACCAGCAGTTTACGGCGCCGAAGGCGAACTGATTCCCATACCGGTACGCCAGGTACTCGAAGGCGTCTCGGGCACGCATGCTGGCAGCGTCCCAGGGAGCGTAGTAGAGAACCAGCGAGACGTCGTACTTGTGCACCCACTCGGAGTCCAGATGACCCCTGCGCAAATAAAGCATGGGGGCGACACGTCTACTCGGCTAGGTTCTTTTGAACATTTTTTAAATGCAGGCCTTGGTTTCTAAAAGGTGGGCGTATACTTATGCAATGGGACTTGTTTACGTAAGCGTAAGTACCGTTGCAGGTTCTTGATTCCTCTGGTTATTTTTTAATCTCCAGCTTCCCCAAAAGTTTCCCCCAAGGATTGACAGATACCTTCACGCCTTGAGAAACTGCGCCTCTTATATATCAATGCCGCAGCATTGTGAACAAAAGTGATCACCTTGAAGCCGTAACCTTGGGATACAGTCCTGAGGTAGTTGTCATTACAGAAACTTGGCTTCGAAGTGAACTTCACGACAACAGTATTTTTCCGCTTTCGTACCAAGTATTTCGTCAGGAAAAAAATTCAAAAGGAGGTGGCATTGCCGTTCTGGTTAAAATAAACATTTTGGCTACACTCACAAAACAAATCGATCACCATGAAAGTATTACCTTGAAATTGTCATGCTGGGGCTTTTCGTTATTACTTGTAGCCGTGTATCGCCGTACCGATGCTCTACCAGAGTTTTTGCAGGATTTATGTGATCACATCTCAGGTTTTAGACAACAAAAAATAATTGTTGCTGGTGACTTCAACCTTCCTAGTGTCAATTGGGAGAACCCGTTTATTTCTAATGAATCTAGTGCCCTTGTTTACAGTGTGCTGGACTTATTGATGAACAGTAATTTAGAACAGGTGGTTAGACAGCTTACTCGTGTTCAGGGTAGTTCCTCCTCTATATTAGATGTTATTTTTCTGAGCCAATGCATGACTGACTTTTCTGTGACAATTGAACCTGGTCTTTCAGACCACTATATAGTGAAATGCGTATGCCACTTCTTGACAACGAAAAGTGCTCCTTCGAAAACCGTCACAGTTAAAGATTACCTTCATGCAGCGGATGAAAGCGTCTTAGACTTTCTTGACATAAACTTAAGCGATTTCGGTGGGTCTGATGTTAATAAGCTATGGGAGACATTTAAAAGGTTATGTCTATACTGTATAGACCACTTTGTGCCAAATAAAAAGAAAATGATTGCGAAAAAAAAATCCGTGGATCACCCATGACACTTCGCATCAAAACAGAAAACTACAACGATTACGCTGTCTTCGTGCATCTCAGAAAACTATTCAAACAAACCATTCACTCTTAAAACAGTCTGTCCGATGTGCTAAGCAATCTTATTTTCAACATACTCTACCATACTTCTTACGGACGGCTCCTGATAAATTCTGGTTGCAATTATCTCGCAAGAAAAACGGTACTCTTCAAATAATTCACCATGATACAATCGTTACAGATAAAATAGGCATAGCGACACATTAAAATGAGTACCTTCAAAGCGTTTTCCGAAAAGTTGTGACGTCGCACACGCTTATGCTATCACTCCTTATCTCGACTCAGACATCGTGTCCCTATCTGGCATTGTACCTATGCTTCTGAATTTAAAGACTAAAGCTTCGCCTGGTCCCGATAACATTCACAATGCATTTCTGTGTTGACATGCTGAGATGGTTTCTAAATTTCTTGTGATCATTTTTCGTGCCTCTCTGTCTTCTTCTTCTGTTCCGATAAATTGGAAAACAGCGTGAATTGTCCCAATATTGAAATCTGCAGATAAATTATTGGTTACAAATTATCGCCCCATATCTATTACTTGTTCTTCTTGTAAGCTTCTCAAGCACGTTATAGCTAACTACATCACTAATTTTCTTATTGACAACAATATATTAACCCCCTCTCAACATGACTTCAGAAAGGGTTTGTTCACTGTCTCTCAACTGGTCACAGTCATACATACTTTAACATCTATTCTTGATGAATCCGGGCATATCCATGTTATTTTTTTGGACTTTAAGAAGGTATTTGATTTAGTTTCCCACAATAAATTGATTTTCAAACTTAAAAATATTGGCCTTCCTGAGCTCATTGTAAATTGAGTCTCCACGTACTTGTCGAATTGTACACAATTTGTTGATATAAATGGTCACTGTTCATTCAAACTTCAGGGTAAATTAAATGTTCCCCAGGGACCACTACTTTTTTAATATATATAAATGATATTGTTGAAGTTGTCCCAGAACATGTCGAGATAAGGCTATTCGCCGATGATTGTGTACTGTATAAGGAAATAGTTACCATGAATGATCAACAGCTTTTAAATTCCTCCCTTGATAACGTTTTCCAGTGGTGTAAGCAGTGGGATATTAAACTTAACTCAGACAAAACAGTGCACATGAACATCATGAGAAAGAAAAACTTTTCTTCTTTTCCATATGCGCTACAAACTCACATACTCAAAGAGGTCAGTGAATATAAGTACCTCGGCGTAACAATAACCAAAAATCTAAGTTGGAATATGCATGTGTCGAACATTTGCGCATCCGCCTTCCGTAAGCTATGCTTTTTTAAGTACAAACTTCGTCTTGCCCCGCCATCTGTGAAGCTGTTAGCCGATAATACTATCATTAGACCTACTCTCGAATATGTGTGCATCATTTGGGACCCATAAACTAGAAAAAACCATTCTTGCCATTGAAATTATTCAACGTAAATGCATTAGGTTTATATTTTCTAAATACTGTATGACAGACCCTCCCACAGCCATCATGAAAGAAAATAATATACAAGAACTCCAGCTTCGTTACAAAATTCTGAGATTAAAATTTCTTTTTCATTTAAAAAACAAACATTCCGCACTGGATTCCTCTAGGTTTATACAGCCCCTGACATCACGAGAAACTAGAAATCGTCATGGTGCCTCGATTACACCATTCCAGACACGTACCAACGCATTTTTTTTTTTCCTCGTACCACTGCAGACTGGAACGCCCTGCCATTTGAATCGCTACAACACATTGACTACTTCGACTTTATGACATCATAACCCTAAGCACTATGCCCCCCCCTTTTTTTTGTTCGTATGTACAGGTAGTATGCGCACTAGTAATCCTAGCTGTTTACTTAATGTGTTAACGTAATAATACTCCTATTGCTGTGCCTGTGTTATATTGCGAGTATGTATTTGTGTAGTTTTTGTGTATATATTCCTCTTCTGGTAATGAACTGTTACTGATTTATGTGGCGAAAATGCTGTTGAATATAAATTGCTATGTGTACTTGTTTGTATAAGAATATTTATTTTGTGTTTACATTGCGCACGTAGACAACTGATTGATTGTGATTTTTTTTTTTTCTACAAGTGCTTGTTCCCACTCCTGCATGGGCTCCGATCTGAGCCTGCAGTATTCTGTGAATAAAATAAATAAAGCGTGGGTTGCTGCACTTACAGTAGTAATCGAATCGGGCTCCAAGTAAGCAAATGTGTAAAATGTCTGGATAATTCCTTCTTCAGTACCGATCACCTGATTTCACAAAACGAAGCTTGTTTACACAAATACATGCGATACTGTTTATAGAAGTCCGGCAGTGCGCTGATCCCCACGTCTATCCCGCCTTGCAAACAAGGAAGACGTTGACAACAAATCCGCAGGATAGTGCAAGCCTTATGTGTGCGGTGTTGCCGGATGTCGTCAAGGCTCTCATAAGAATGTTTCATTTTCACTACGTGTAATCGGCATATGCGTGCACCAAGCCGAACGCGTACTCACGTACCTGTAGGAGTCATTGACAGGCGAGTGCTTCGCGAAGAAACGTCGAGGAGGCGACGCCGCACGCGTCTTCTTGGCCGTCTCGTGCAACGCCGCCCAGCTCGCAAGGAGCAGCAGCGTGAGAAAGAATAGTTCTCTCGCGTAAGACGTCATATTCCTCCTTCGTTGTGCGTCCCCATCAACAACGACGGCCGCTTCGGGGCTTTCGGAATCGGAGTGTTGCTCGCGCGAAGCGACACGTGGATTAGCGTCGTCGGTCGTCGGCTCATCGCTGTCACTGCCGCCGTTCGTGTTTTCGTCGAGCTCTTCCATCGTGACGTCATTGCCTCCACCTTTCACCGAATGAGCCTAGCGTTCAACGGACGGTGCGTCGAGCTTCAGACACCATGCAATTCCCGCCTTGGGCAACTACGCGGCGATTTCGGTGCACTGACGGCGGCATGGATGTCGCATGCAGAACGCGTTACATCGCGATCAGTTTCGATATGTGCCGATTAGGAAGCGCCATGTTGGCTCGTTAGCGGTGCGGCTCGACTTGACCCCTATACCACAGAACACCTATACACACTACCAGTTAGAGAAGAGAAACTGTACCTTTGACGTCAATGAGGGTGGCGACTTGGGCTTGTTGGTATGGTTGCATGATGATAGATGGTAGCGCAGACAACGAACACGGACAAGAGAAGGCACATAGACACAACACAGCGCTAACTTTCAACAACAGTTTATTACACGCAGATCTCCGTGGTGTATGCGATCCACCACGCCAACGTCGCACGTGCGTAGCTCTAAAAACCATCAAATATAACCAACGCGCGTGTTCCAATACTTTACAATTTTATATTTTTCAATCTTTTTTTGCTTTTTCTTTCTTCCTTTTATCCCATGTTATCACAAACCCTATCGCGAATACATGTAATCAAGTTCCTTATCTGTCAATACCACTGATGGGCTGCTCACACACGTGTCACCTAGCTCTGCAATTTTGCCGGCCTCCAATACCAATCGCGTCATCTCGTGCCTACTTCTATTGATTATAACCGTTTCCTTGAATTTCGGTGTGCACTTACATCTCAGGCAATGAAGGGAAAGAAAACCATCAGGAACAACACTATTTACTTTGTTATTGTGCTCGCGCAAGCGATCGTTTATGCATCTACTGGTCTGACCGATATAACACTTTCCACAAGTAAGTGGAATGAGGTATACCACACACATGATGCACTCCACAAATAGGTTTCTATGTTTCTTTTGGCATACATTTGATTTTCCCTTGTCTGGTCTTGTGCTTCTGCAAAGACTCACCAACTTATTGGGTGCCGAGAAAACTACGTTAGTGCCACATTTTTCCGCAATCTTTTTATCCTGTGAGAAACCTTATGCATGTATGGAATTACGGCAAAACTTTCCTTTCTTGAGCTCACCCTATCCATCGCTTCACATCTTTTCTCCAGCACTTTTCTGTGCAATCCTTCAGCAACGGACACGACGAGGCTCTTGGGGTACCCGGCATTGCTTAGCCTCGAGACCTGTTGTCTGAAGCTTTCATTCATGAGGCACCGGCAGGACTTCTTTAGTGCCTCACTCAAGCACATCTTCGCAATGCCTCGTTTTACCAGTTTAGTATGCGCTGAGTGAAACTGTAGTAAAGGCTTACTTGCTCTGGGCTCGTAACACCAGCATGTCTTTTCATCTGAGAATTGAAAGTTAATGTCAAGAAATCTGAGCCTTCCGTCACATGGCATTTCAAAAGTCACTTCAAGTGGGTTAAGACCCTCACGAAAAACGCTACACACGCTACTACATTGAGTAGTAAAATCTACAGTTCTGTCATTGATAAACACTAAAAAGTCATCGACGTACCTAAATACGTGCACAACATTGTATTCATTTAGGCGTCCTGATAGCCTCCTGTCCATTTCAGCCAAAAACAAATTACTTAAAACTGGTGCTAAGCACGAGCCAATGCATACTCCTTGTTTTTGCAGATACAGGGTACCATTGTTTTCAATAAACGTTGACGACAAGTAAAACCTAAGTAATTCTAAGAAATTGTCGACGGACGTACCTGCTTGTGCGCTAAATCTAACGGCACCGTACTCATCGATGCATTCGCCAACACATGTTAATACTGCTGATTGTGGCAGAGAATAGTACAGATCTTTTATGTCAGCCGAAAACGCTTTTAACCCTATGTTTTTTCGTTCCCTGACGAAACTTATCACCTGTTCCGAATTTTTTGTCAGGAAGGGGTCATTTATGTCAAGCAAGTTTAATGTTCTTTGCAGATACACAGCTACAGCTTTTGCCACGTGTCCTTCTCCGACACTATCACTCTGAACGGTACTCCTTCCTTATGCGTTTTAGCACTAAAGAACACATCCAGACTGTCATTTTTACTTTTTCTGATACCGCTAAGCACACCTTCTAGATTCATCCTCTTACAAGGTTCTATTGCTTTTCCCCTCACTTTTTCAATCGAAATACTTTTCCTTTCGCTGAACACTGCCGTAATAGCACTTTTAGCCTTTTCTTTAAATTCATCATGCGAGAAAACCGCAAACCCTCCTTCTTTATCGACTGGAAGTACACTCAGAGCATGCTGTGTCAAGTAAGTTTCCACGCGTTTGAGAGGCAAACTGCGGCATGGAGGCCTACACAATTTTAAAGCGTCCACACCTTCGTTGATGATCCTGGTGGCTTGATCCTCGGGAACCCGCTTCGACACTTGACGTACAATTGATACGAGTTCCGGCTTGTTCTTTTGAGGTTGCACGGCAAACTTTGGCCCAAGTCCCAATACTTCTAGTACAAAGTCCGGTAGGCAGATGCCTTCTGCCACATGAACGTTGGAAGTTGCACTCACGCGCACTTTGTCCACCAAATCACGTAACAGTCGTAATTGAAGCTTCCAGTGGAATTCTATCATTTGGTCTGCCAGACGTAGATGCTTTCGAAAGTGAATCTCCGCTGCATACGACTCGTAAGTTCGATGCATCTGCGCCCGTAGGTAGGCTCTGAAAAGGCGTACCTGTCGAAGCCATTCTGAGCGCTGAATTTTCATGATCCTCGTTCTGTGCCCATCTGAAGGGGTACACCCTCCGAAGAGCGCTCGAACATCCTCTGGTAGAATCTTGTTCCTTATGGAAAAGCTGAGCGTTCTTGCCTTGCACACGGCGTTGACGATGAGGGCTACAACACCCGAAGGATCTCGCAGTACATGAACGAAAGAGCCCGTTGAACGAGAAATGAAGTCAATGAGGGTGGCGACTTGGGCTTGTTGGTATGGTTGCATGATGATAGATGGTAGCGCAGACAACGAACACGGACAAGAGAAGGCACATAGACACAACACAGCGCTAACTTTCAACAACAGTTTATTACACGCAGATCTCCGTGGTGTATGCGATCCACCACGCCAACGTCGCACGTGCGTAGCTCTAAAAACCATCAAATATAACCAACGCGCGTGTTCCAATACTTTACAATTTTATATTTTTCAATCTTTTTTTGCTTTTTCTTTCTTCCTTTTATCCCATGTTATCACAAACCCTATCGCGAATACATGTAATCAAGTTCCTTATCTGTCAATACCACTGATGGGCTGCTCACACACGTGTCACCTAGCTCTGCAATTTTGCCGGCCTCCAATACCAATCGCGTCATCTCGTGCCTACTTCTATTGATTATAACCGTTTCCTTGAATTTCGGTGTGCACTTACATCTCAGGCAATGAAGGGAAAGAAAACCATCAGGAACAACACTATTTACTTTGTTATTGTGCTCGCGCAAGCGATCGTTTATGCATCTACTGGTCTGACCGATATAACACTTTCCACTTACTTGTGGAAAGTGTTATATCGGTCAGACCAGTAGATGCATAAACGATCGCTTGCGCGAGCACAATAACAAAGTAAATAGTGTTGTTCCTGATGGTTTTCTTTCCCTTCATTGCCTGAGATGTAAGTGCACACCGAAATTCAAGGAAACGGTTATAATCAATAGAAGTAGGCACGAGATGACGCGATTGGTATTGGAGGCCGGCAAAATTGCAGAGCTAGGTGACACGTGTGTGAGCAGCCCATCAGTGGTATTGACAGATAAGGAACTTGATTACATGTATTCGCGATAGGGTTTGTGATAACATGGGATAAAAGGAAGAAAGAAAAAGCAAAAAAAGATTGAAAAATATAAAATTGTAAAGTATTGGAACACGCGCGTTGGTTATATTTGATGGTTTTTAGAGCTACGCACGTGCGACGTTGGCGTGGTGGATCGCATACACCACGGAGATCTGCGTGTAATAAACTGTTGTTGAAAGTTAGCGCTGTGTTGTGTCTATGTGCCTTCTCTTGTCCGTGTTCGTTGTCTGCGCTACCATCTATCATCATGCAACCATACCAACAAGCCCAAGTCGCCACCCTCATTGACTTCATTTCTCGTTCAACGGGCTCTTTCGTTCATGTACTGCGAGATCCTTCGGGTGTTGTAGCCCTCATCGTCAACGCCGTGTGCAAGGCAAGAACGCTCAGCTTTTCCATAAGGAACAAGATTCTACCAGAGGATGTTCGAGCGCTCTTCGGAGGGTGTACCCCTTCAGATGGGCACAGAACGAGGATCATGAAAATTCAGCGCTCAGAATGGCTTCGACAGGTACGCCTTTTCAGAGCCTACCTACGGGCGCAGATGCATCGAACTTACGAGTCGTATGCAGCGGAGATTCACTTTCGAAAGCATCTACGTCTGGCAGACCAAATGATAGAATTCCACTGGAAGCTTCAATTACGACTGTTACGTGATTTGGTGGACAAAGTGCGCGTGAGTGCAACTTCCAACGTTCATGTGGCAGAAGGCATCTGCCTACCGGACTTTGTACTAGAAGTATTGGGACTTGGGCCAAAGTTTGCCGTGCAACCTCAAAAGAACAAGCCGGAACTCGTATCAATTGTACGTCAAGTGTCGAAGCGGGTTCCCGAGGATCAAGCCACCAGGATCATCAACGAAGGTGTGGACGCTTTAAAATTGTGTAGGCCTCCATGCCGCAGTTTGCCTCTCAAACGCGTGGAAACTTACTTGACACAGCATGCTCTGAGTGTACTTCCAGTCGATAAAGAAGGAGGGTTTGCGGTTTTCTCGCATGATGAATTTAAAGAAAAGGCTAAAAGTGCTATTACGGCAGTGTTCAGCGAAAGGAAAAGTATTTCGATTGAAAAAGTGAGGGGAAAAGCAATAGAACTTTGTAAGAGGATGAATCTAGAAGGTGTGCTTAGCGGTATCAGAAAAAGTAAAAATGACAGTCTGGATGTGTTCTTTAGTGCTAAAACGCATAAGGAAGGAGTACCGTTCAGAGTGATAGTGTCGGAGAAGGACACGTGGCAAAAAGCTGTAGCTGTGTATCTGCAAAGAACATTAAACTTGCTTGACATAAATGACCCCTTCCTGACAAAAAATTCGGAACAGGTGATAAGTTTCGTCAGGGAACGAAAAAACATAGGGTTAAAAGCGTTTTCGGCTGACATAAAAGATCTGTACTATTCTCTGCCACAATCAGCAGTAT